GGAGAGAAGCATGCTTTTGAGAAGGAGGAGGAAGAGGGAAAGAATTGACTGAAGAGGGTGAATGGAAGTCATAATGGATGCAGTTAGTTGCTGGGAAGGACCCAAAAGCAGCTCATGATTCCTTAAGACAATTAAAAGCAAATTGTCCGGCTGAACGATCCCAGAGCAAGGAAGATGCTCCCCCAGACTATAATTCAAGGGGCTGAATGACCCTAAAAAACTGAGACCGGAGAGAAAAAAAAACAGAAGATGAGGCAAATGATGGAACAGATGTGAGCGCTTTTGTTGGGAAGACTTGGAGGCTAGCGGGATGGTGATAGGCTAATTTGAGGCGCATAATACCAGGTTCCTTTCATATGCAGAATAGCACTTTGATCCAATGTGGATGAAAGTGCTGAAAAGTGGAGAGGATGGCAGGGGGTCTTTTGTCTTTGACAAAAAAGGCATCTGCCGGGCTCTAACCCCTTTTTCCCCACCCCCTTAGCCTAGCAGGCCACTCCAACAATGCTAGCAAAGGGGACCAGTGTCTCCTGACAGCTGAAGAAATCTCCAGGAGGAGAATGAGGCTTGCAGCAATATGTATACCATATAAGAGAGTTTAATCAATTTTTTCCACAGTACAAAAAAGGGGAGAGTTGGAGGAAGACAGAGAGATCACAGTGGAAATGGGAGGTTGGAGGAAAAAAATCCTTTTTTAATAAACTTGTTACTTTTGTTCTCCGAATACATCTTTTCAGGAGATGCTTTGATGATAGTATGAATACACTTAATGGAGCAGAGTAAGGTAGAGCTGATGTGGGGGGGAGGTGTGAAGCAAGGGAGAATAGCGTTGCAAGGAGGATGAATGCGGAGTGATTTCTGTGGATTCCAACACAGGAACAATTATGGAATTAGTAACTAACAGTGCAATGCAAGAGATACCTGGAAGACAGATGCATGCTCTCTGTACCTCTTCTTGGAGGAGCTCAGATGAGCACAAATTCCTGTGTGTGACTTCTAAGCAAAATTGAAAATGTCTCGTCAACCTTTCCTTAATTTCTGTTGTGTTCTTAACTCCTTGGATTTATTAGAAATTAAAAGACTGCAGGATTGAATGGGGAGCTAGGAACGCAAACAGTATTTGTGCCAAGCAAACATAGCAGTTGCAGATCTGCGGATCTGGTCCCTGCTTCTCATGCTCTGTCGACTTTCTTCAGCTTTTCACATCTGGTAAACAAGACTGGGATCCAATCGGCAGAGTTTGGTGGTGGTGGTCTTCCTTAAGTATCACTTTGCACCTAGTCTAGTGTTTTCTTTGAGAACTAATGACAGAGTGATCAACTTCTGAGCAAGACCCACCTCAGTAAATTAAATCCTTTAAGAACAGTAGGCTCAGGAATCTTCCTTCTCTTGAGATCCTGACAGTGTTTATGCATTGCAATTTACTGAAGATAACCTTCTCACCAGCTTTAAACAATACCTGGTACTACAAACAGCTCCTCCGTTTTTACGCCCACACTTCTCTTTCTGCCAAGGAGTTGCAATTCCCCCAAGGAGATAAGAGCAATACAGAAACGGAGAGAAGCTATCACATTCCTTTGAGAAGCTCTACATGCACGCTGAAACCAAATTGTAATCCTGTGTAGTTGTTCAGTGGGTGTGCTGTGATCCCTCTCTAGCAGATGCCATCATTCTGTTCAGACCAGCTGATGGGAAGAGTATTTTTGGCAATAGTATCTCCTGCCTTCCAGCTGTGAAAAGGCTGATGACATGAGTTTGCATAACTCATTAGGGAGGACTCATTATCAAGGACATTAGTGCTGTTTTGATTTCTGTCCATTTGTTCTATCGTGACTTTTTTTGCTCCCAGTGCTTGGGCTGTGATTGAGAATGGTGCAGAAGATTGTGAACTGCTGCTGCTGTCATCAAAGGAGCAGAGACCACCTCTGTCCCTCACAATGCCTAGGTGAAAGTCCCCTCTCTGTATGGGCTTCAGGTGGCTCTTGTGTGACTTCTTTCTCAGATGCTATGCACAGTGACAGGATGTGGGTCTAGATCTAAAAGTGGAAAGACATTGCTTATGGGGAAGTCTGAATTGGCAGAGAGCAGCCCTCTGTAGTCCTCTATGTCAAAGAAAAACAGCCCAAGGAAGGACCATGCAAACCCGCTGACCGGGTGGTGGGGTCCATGGCAGCCTCCTGGATGCTCTGTCCATGGGCAGTCATGGTTGGGATGGGGTCTAGGAGTCTTGGGCAGTGGGCTTGGACACTTTGTTCATCCTTTCAGGTGGAAACACGAACAAGCTTACTATGAAAAGTCTTGTGCTTCCCCAGCTGGGCAGGCAAGCTCTTCAGCAGCTGCCATCCAGACATGTCTTCCCATGTCCCAGTATTAACTATGCCACTGCCACACCACAAAGATGTACTCTTGGCAAAGACCAGAGAGCTGCCAAGGCTGCTTCACCAGGGCAGCTTTGTGCCATGCCAGCAATAAGATTAGAGGAAGGGGCAGAGAGGGTGAGTTTCGTCTGTGCCTATGCCTAAAAGTGTGTGGTAATCCTCCATAATTGCGGGTAGTCGTTGGGGTTTTAAACAGTGCTCTTGAGACAGATTTATTTAGCTGTTTTCAGTTTACTGTGTGCTAGTTTTGTATGGCTAGTGGGTGAGCGTAAGGGAGGAAGATGCCTGTGTGGCTCAACCTGGCTACTAAGGTCCAGGCCAGGTCTGTTTGGAGGAGACACTGAATCTGTTTCACCTGAAGCTCAGTGCGAAGAAGGAGGGAAGAGATGTGCATGAAGCAGAGGGTAGCATGCAGAGCAAGTGACTGCAGGAGTGGAGGCTGTGGGAGTACAGCAGAGAGAAGAAGATTTGCTTTGTTCTCACGTCTCGCCCAGCAGGCTGGTGTTTTCTACACAGAAGCCAGTTACCCTCCACTGGTTTGTGTTCAGATGAAAATCAAATGGTACAGATTGCAAAGCCTCTTTGATGTGCTTACTCTGCATTGAGGCTGACCAGCCAGCCAGCCTACCTGACCAGCTCAGGAGACCATCACAGGTCTTATTCCTGCTCTATGGACAGAGACTGTCTGGTGATTGTTTCAGAGCCTGTAGAGTCTAGAAAGGGCCTTATTGCTTTAATGGTAAATTATCCAAGTGGATGCTGCTATGGTTGTCAAATAACTTACAAAATAAGCCATTCCCGTGGAAGTGCTTTTGGCTGGACTGATTGTACAGATGAGATTTTCCTGGCATGGTCTCGCAGTCCTGGCTGTAGAAACCCCATGTTTTCAGCATGAATTTAGCTTGTCTCTCGGTGAATCTCATCTGGTCATTAACATCCAGTAGGGGTTCTCTGTGTGGGAAGTGAAGCCAAAGAAATGGAAAACAATGGCTTTGGAGTGCAATAAACCCCAGCCTGCATGCAAACTTTTGTTCAAATGTAAAGTGGTTTCAATATGGTTTTGTCTAATTTAGTTCCAAATTAAACAGAGGTCCTTCGCAAGATGGCCACTGGCTGCTTGGTGTAACTTTCCTGAGTGTCTACTGGCAGATATTCTTTTAATGAAGTGAAGTTTGTACCAACAAAGTGAATTCTTGCCCTTTTTAAATACATGAGATAGGAGTACATGTTGTATTCATGAAAACCTTTCAGAACTAATGCTAGGTTATGTGCTTTCATATTCAGTTAAATACGCAGTGGTTTGGATCTGGACAGGCGACGTAGCTATAGTGGGGACAGCATGATTTCAAGTTTAGTAGGACCTGCACCTTTCTGTAGAAGATGGATTCTTTTTCTGGCAGAGGGCAAATTCTCCCTGTTTGTTCCCACATCTGTTCTGTCCTGTATTCCTCAAATTTAGTTCATATGATCTTAGTACATTAAGAGTATTCCTACTCATGTGTGAGTTGTATGGTGTTGGTGAATACCTTGAGTTCCAGAGTGCTTTTGATAGTGTGCAAGGCAAATACCAGGAGTTAATTACATAGAGCCCTCATCAGACTGCAGAGAGTCACCAGAGCCTGGAAAGTAACCCTTTTGAAATGCTTTTCGAGACTTTTGAGACCTCAGCAGTATCTCTCAGCTTACTTCCTTTAGAAATAAAAAAATAGCCGGTAAGTAGTAGGAAGGCTTGTTGCACTTGTCTGGTCTTGGTGTGAAACCCAGTGGTAGCTTGAGTAAAAGCGGTATTCAGGAGTAATGGCAGTATTTTACTTGCTACATACTGATGGACAGCTGCTGTCTGGTGAGGCAAATATCCATTTCCACGACTCACCAGTGTGCCTGCTGGCATCCCATGCTCAGCCTGGGGAGTTTCTGCCCCAGCCAAGTCCTCCCTTTTACACTGGTTCAGCTCGAGGAGAAGGGAATGGGAGTGTTTGCATTCCCAGGTGAACACCAAGGAGGAGGAGAAAACAGTGTGGCAGCAGCAGCCCCCATGCCTGCAGAGGCAGTCAGCCCGGGGAGTGTGCCTGCGGCCTGGCACCTGGCAGCCACTCTCCTCCCCTGGCCTGCTCCGGAGAGCTGTTCCTGCCTGAAATAAATAAATAGGGTGTGGGGGAGAATGAGACATGAAGCAGGAAATGACAGTGTTAATGTTCCTTGTGGACAAGGAAGAAAGAGCAAATAAGGAGAAGTGATGCCTCATCTAGGTAGGTGGCTGAGGATCTGTGGAGATAGGAGCCCGTCAGGCTCCTGTAGGGTGGTCAGGCAAACTGAGGGGAACAAGATTGCCTGTATTTCAGTCTGTCCCTTTGTATCTTCCATATTAATCATGTTGTGGGCAAAACCTCCTGGAGTTAGGTGTGGTGAATCCATTCCCTGTGAGTAGGCCGCTGGGCCCTGAGCTGTGAGTATCTGCAGACAGGGAGGAGGCGGGATGGTGAGGCGTGGGCTGGAGCTCTCGGAGCAGGAGCAGCTTCGGAGAGCCCTCAGCAGGTGGCTGTATATCTGTGACCTTCTTTAAGGGGCAAGATGAGAACTCACCAGGAACTCTGTCTTTTCCTCCCTCTCCCCTTCCCTCAGGTGGTCTTTGCTCTGAATCAGACTCTCTTGCAGCAGGAGAGCCTCCGAGCAGGCAGTTTCCAGATCCCCTATACAACAGAAGACCTTATCAAGCATTACAACTGTGGGGACCTCAGCTCCATCATCTTCAACCATGACACTTCTCAAGTGAGTCTTGCACTTCTCAAGTGCAGCCCTTGTACTATGCACATGTCCCCCGTAGTGCTAACCCATCTCACACACGCTTGCCTCTCCTCAGGCAGGCCCTTTGCAGGTGAGGGCCAAGGGCATGTTGCTGGCTCCCTAGTGCTTCTGCTTTCCTGCACCTCCTGTCCCAGGAGTCTGCATGACCTCATCCCGTCTTGCTGCATGCAAGCAGCAAAGGCACCCCTGACATTCCCTTTTGGACAAGTGCTATGTTTGCTTTAGTGTCAAAGCTGGATGAGCTAATCCTTTATTTTCTTAAGGATCCTGTGGAATTACACCAGCTTTGGTATGAGCAGACTTAGCGCCAGCAGGCTCTAAGCAGCAGCAGACTCTTTTGTGTAAACAGCAACAGAAATGTACTCATGACTTGGATGCTTGTGTAAGGCTGGACAAGTTGCAAGATTTTTCATGTCCCCTATCAGTATGATTGTGTACTGCGGACAAGGCCCAAAGAAAAAGAATGGAGTGAAACAAAGAAAAGATAGATTTAGACTGAATGTTAAGGAAAAGAAAACCATCTGAGGCCTCACAGACTTGGTTTATGGAGATGGTTTCCTAAGCAGCACACTGGAATGCAATGCTCTGATCTTTAAACCACGAGAAAATGCGCAGCAGGGACCAATTTGGCCTGTTTGGGCTGTTAGATTAGCTAACCTCAGACAGAGACACCAGGCCTCTCTGTTTTTGTCTGTGAGGTACTGCCTGGCAATTCGTGCACGTCAATGAAAACATAACGCTTTAGCCTCACAGTGCTGCACAAGTGGGTGTTTAGTACCTGGGCTTTCGCTGCTGAATAGCCATTTTCCTCGGACCTTTTGATATAAATGGTGCAGTGCTGCAAAGCTGGAAATACTGTCATACTAACCCTTGCTTCTCTGGCATTGAGCTTTGCAGGCATGTTGTTATCTTCCTGTCCCACACTATCCTTCAGCCATCAGGTGCACGTAACTTGGTTGTTAGCACTGCTTAGCCATACAGTACACTTGCTTCATAGATTTCAAAGGGCCTCTCAAAGGAGGCCAGGGCTGTAAGAGCAAACGGATGCTGCACCACCATTCTGCTGAGGTGTTACAGACTGTAGACAGCTGGCATTGCCTTGAGGTCACTAGAGAGAGCAGCTCTTTCTGAGGCATGCATGTTTCCGAGGGAGCAACTGCCGTTTACTCACATGAGGGACTCCACTGCAGAGCACTCACAGCAGACCTGAATAGTAATAGTCTGCAACACTGTCAGCAGACTATCTGCTTCTAAGCAGAACTTACTTGTAAATTGTATTTGATCCCATTTTTGCCCAATAGATGACTCACTTTTCACTAAGAACCGTTTGGAAATGGTCGGTCTCTGAGTGGCTCCAGAGCCTCTTCAGTTGCTGCAGCCTTGCAAGTGAAAGCACCTAGCTTAATGGCTCAGCTCCCCAGAAAGCACCACTTGCAGGCCCTTTTATTAGCAACCCCATGACTGCAGTGCCCAGAGCTACTTGTCAAGAAACCAGGGTGGCTTCAAGTCCAGACCCACATTTCTCTCTGCTAGCAAGAGGTCAGGGTATTGTGCAACCACAGCTGTCCTGGGGGCCCCAGGGGACGAAGCCAGTATTTTTGAAGATACCTTGAGGACAGGGGAACTGAAGGTGGTGACACTTTCTTTCCTGACAAAATCTGGCCCTCATTCTTTTGGAAAGTTTGGGGATGTTTTTGCTAACTAGTTCAAATTGCACAGTTTCTTTGGCAGCCTGAGGGCTCTGATACAGGTCAAACTGTCGTAGAAGATCATAATTATCATTACATTTATGTCATATCTATGGCAATTTAAGGAAGAGGTATGTAGCTAAAGATAGCCAGGGGCAAATATTTACTTTCTGCAGTCAGACAATCAGGATTTGGGATCTACCATGTGGCAAACTGACAGTACTTACAGACTCTGCATAAAAAAAATATAGCTGGCTGGCTTATGAAATGACATTTTCTTTACTGTGAGTGTGTTGAGGCACTGGAACAGGTTGCCCAAAGAAGCTGTGGATGCCCCATCCTTAGAAGTGTTCAAGGCCGGGCTGGATGGGCTTTGAACAATGTGGCCTAGTGAAGGTGTCCCTGCCCATGGCAGGGAGGTTGGAACTCAATGACCTTTAAGGTCCCTTCCAACCCGAACCATTCTGTGATTCTATGGTTCTATGATATGTTGAGAGAAATGAAGCACTGTGTATTATTAGAAGTTTCCTGAGTCATTTTTTAGCTTTCTTTGGGTTTTGTCCTACTGTGCCTTAAGGAACAAGGCAATTGATACATTCAACAATGGAGTAAAATGCATGTGCATCATGGCTGCCTGTGAAATAAATACCCCTTTCATGAAGACTTTTTTGCTTTTCTACCTTAGGTCCCAAATTTCATTAATGCTACACTTCCGGTGCATGAACGTATTACTGCCCAAGAGATAGACAGCTACTTCCGTCAGGAGCTCATCTACAAACGAAATCAGCGAATGGGCAGAAGGGTGAAAGATCTGCTGGAAGAGTACCCAGATAAGAGTTTCTTCTTTGCATTTGGAGCTGGTATGTGACTGAGGTGCCCTGAACACCTGAACACACTCTTCCCACGTCCCATAGAAGCTTTTAACAAATGCTTGCCTTGATTTAAAGCCAGGTCAGTACTTCTACCATGGTGGACACAGAACACAGTTTTGCCCTGACAGTTGCACCCTGCACGTTTTTTCAGTGTAGGAGACTGTCTTTCTTCAGCATGAAAGAGCTCACAGTGTATGTATTGATTGTAAGATTTATGAGTTACAGACTTTTTTGTCACATGCATAGCCAGAGGTACTGAACCAACTACAGTGCATACACAAAAGGAACAGCTCTTAGACATATGTGTCTATGGTCTGGCCAAACAAGGCAGAAGGGTGGGAGAAATGGGGAGCTGAGATGAAAGGCAGCAAGTCACAAGTTGCACTAGTTCTTGAATAAACCTTTATAGAACACATCCAAAAGAATGACATGCCAACTTGTGTGAATCTAAGGGGCTCAATAAATTCAAGGGAGAGGCATGGCACACTTTCACCTTTTTCTTCCTGCTGCAGCTCCTTACCTCTTTCACTGCACTTCCACAACTACAAAAAAATTGTGTCTGCCACTATTTTGGAGCAGAGCATTGGGCCCAGTTGGGGAAAACCTACTCCATTTCCTGCTTCTTAGCAGCCAGCAGGAATCTACAGGCACATCCAGCAGCACATCCAACTCAGTGAGGTTAACACCCACACTTCAGATTAGGGCTGGGTGGAGTGTGTACACAAGATTGGTTTACCTTTGCTGTAGTTCAGGGAAAGGAAGAAGTGAGGATTGGGTGTTTGAAAAGACAGGTGCTAATTCACAGAGAAGTATTGCATCCTCTTCACCAAGAACCCTATATGCCTTGGGAAAGGAAGAGAACTGAAACAAGTGTCAGGATCCATGAGACGTTTTACAGTCTCAGTGGCTACTACTTTAGTGAGGATGAAAGATCTAGACAAGTCAAGGAAAATATTTACTTAAACACTCTAAAAGCATTGGTATTCAAAGTCTGTGAGAATCTCCTCCTGTGCAGCAGGGAGTTTTAGTTACAAAGTTATACCAACAAGGGTCCTGTGTATGAGGGCAGGGAGATAATGAAAGGTGGCTGATAATGTCTGTTCAGACATGCATGAAGACCGTAACGTGCTATCTTCTTGCAGTATCACTGCTCTGTGCAACTCCCTGTCATGACAGACAGTGCAGCAGGTGCAGGTTATGTAGATTTTGGTCATGTCTGTCTGTTCTGTACAGAACTTTGCTGTACTCCACTGCTGATGTTCTGATTGCACGTGTCCCTGCTGGACTGATGTTCCTGACCAGTATGTATGTCATCCCTGAATGCCAGTTGCATCAGTTGCAGGTATCTAGTCTTTCATCAGAAGGCTAGTCAGATGTTGGGGCTCTAGTAACTGAGCCACTACTGAGTGATGAGCAACCCTGTCCCCCAGTAGCTACATTGGATAAATCACATGTCTTTAAGATGCTTTTCTGTTTTTTCTTCTCTCTTCCCATCAGCTTAATTTTCTTTTCACTCTTCTGCCCCAAACTGTCTTCATTGTCATGAGTGTGCACAGCTCTGCCCCAGAGCTCAGAAGCAGTGCATGAAGAGGACAGATTCCTGTGTTTCCCAAACTGACCTTCACGACAACCATAAAACCCTTCCCAGGCTTTCTAGATTTTTGCTTTTCTCCTTCCTCTGATTTTCCTTCTCCCAGTAGCCCTCTTCTTTGCCCCCCTGATTGCCTCTTCCCATAGAACAGAGTTGTGATTCAACACTGCTATACTGCAGCACTGCTTGGAGCCTCAGGCTATATGAACACCCTTGATCTGTGGCTTATGTGCACGTGGCTTGATCTCCACAACCAGGCCTGTTCTTCTCATGCTTCTCCATCATACTTTTGAATCCAGACAGGTTCCCTGCCTTCTCTGGGGACTCTAGATGGACTTTGAAATTGTCTCAAATTGCACTCTGGCTTTGATACCAGTCCAGCCTCCAATATCCTTTGCTCTCCCAAGTAGCTCTGCTCAAAGGACAGTGCCAGCCCCACAGTTTTAAAAGCACAATTCCTCATTATCCCCTTGTTTGACTGCATAGTGGGTTTGTTTGGTTTTGTTTTTTAAATTAGTTTCATATTAATTGTTTAAATGAGAAGTAACATCACAGGATGTAATAATGCAGAAGAGACATCCACGTCTACACAGTTCTGAGTTTTTCTGAGTGCAATTTACAAATATGAGTGCAGGCTTTTATTGTTTTCCAGCAAGCTAATTTAGCCTTTTGCTTATCCAGATTGCTGTATGTGATAATTATGTGGAGGATTTATTTTTAGGCCAGCAAGCAGTGAAGATGAACAAATGTCTTGTATTCAGTTTTGAGCACTGCTTGAGTATTGTACTGTTGTTATTTACTGGAAAAGGGTTCCAGGAAAGTGCTTGCACAAGACAGGTTAGAATGAGCTGTCGAAGAAGAGGAGAGAAAGGCTATAAAATTGGCCTGTATCGTAGTTTTTCCTCTTCTGGCCATCAGTGAAAAAAGTGTCTCCCAGCAGTGGCTGATAAACTGCAGGACAAGGTTGTCTTAAAATGGTAGTAGGATATTGAAGGGTCTCCAGTTTAGAAGGGGGAGAAGCCTTTTAGTTGTTTCTTTCAAGATTTTTTGACCCTGTGTTGTTTTTTTTTAAAAGGGATATGCTTTCTGTAAGGAAAATTCATTTTTTTTCCCAAACACCATGAAACAGCACTTTCATCGTCAATTAAGTCCATGGTCATGGTTTGTAGGTGGCTGTGGTATTACAAATGCTCTCTCTTGTTATTTAAACTACTCTTTGTGGTTTTAATGTAAATGGGGGAAAATTGGAAAAGATTGATGATTTGTTTTCTATTCCAAGTGGATTGATGTGGCTTAGATATGTGTAATACATTTGCGCAAAAAAGCTCCCATCTCCTTCCAGGTCTTAATACAGCTGCATGCTATGGATGTTGATTTCTTACATGGAATTACATATGCTAATTTGGATGGTAATAGATTTGATCATTAGGTTCACCATATTTTATGCTTTTAGTACATTTTAACAGATGCGATAAACTCCCCCTACATTCTGTTGAAAACGTTCCATAGAGCTCACTTCTGGAACTATTTTTGTTTGGAAGTAATTTAAGCTTGCACGGAAGTGGAGACCTCAAAATTAACAGATTTTGCTGAAACTAGTCAAAAAGCTTCTGGTCAAAGTGCAAACATGTAAAGCTTCAAGCCAAAATGAATCTGTTCGAGGGAATTCGAGGAAAGTATGGGAAGAGAGGGAGATGGTAACTCCAGCAGCATTCCACATTGTTCAGTAAGAATTTTATCTAAATTCTGCACAGGTGGTTTTGTGTGGTGGCACTAGAGTTACAAGCCAGACCTACTTCCTGTTGCCAATGGAAGAACTTGTAAAGCAAGGCCAGCTGTAATCTTTCACAAGCAGTCTTCCTTCTATAGTAATTTTTTATTTCTCTGAACTCTAATTTGAGCGTTCAAGATCTGAATGTTAAGCCAAAGTAACTGATGGCACATGTAATTCCATAGACCGCCAGCTAGATAACAGCATAGGTTTCTGGTTCGACTAAGAGGTGCACGTTGACCTAGAGAGGACTGCATTGTCCTACTGTGCTGTGGAGGGTTTACCAATTTTACAGGTCTTACAAGTGTGCTGCGTATTGGCTAAACCTTCACAGAATCACAGGGCTAACAGACATCTCTGAAGATTATCTGGTCCACCCCCCTGCTCAGAGCAGGATCATATAGAGCAGTTTTCCTAGGACTGAGTCTGGCCAGGTTCTGATTATCTGCAAGGATTGGTACTCCAGAACCTCTCTGAGCAATCTATTCTAGTGTTTAACCACTGTCACAATAAAAAAGCTTTTTCTTACCTTTAAACGGGATTTCCTTTATATTAATTGTGTTCATTGCCTCCTGTCCTTTCATATTTTAAAACCTCCTACCAGCTATTTATACATTGATTATCCCCCCCTGAGCCTTCTCTTCTCCAGGATGACCAGTCACAGCTCTCTCAGCCTCTTCTCATATGACAGGTGCTCTAATTATTCATAACTTTTGTGGCCCTTTGCTGGACTGTCTCCTGTACGTCCACATCTCTTTTGAACTGGGGAGCTCAGAGATAGACACTGAACCCAGATGTATGTCACCAGGGCTGAGGAGCAGGGAAGGATCACCTCCCTCAATGTGCCATTAAAAAAGCTCCTCCTAATGTATCCCAGGAAGCTGTTGACTGCCTTTGCCACAAGGGCACTTTGTTGGCTCAAGGTCAATCTGATGACCACCAGGACAGCACACCCTTTTCTGCCAAGTTGCTCTTCAGCCAGTTGGTGCCTAGCCTGTAATGGTGCCTGGAGCTATTCCTGCCCAGGTGCAGGAGTTGGTTTGCTGAACTTCATGAGCCAAGATTCCCTCATCATAAATCCATACTGACCACTTCCAATCATCTGCTTATCCCTAACACATTTGGAAATGTTTTTCAGGATAATTTGCTCCATCACCTTCCACAGGAATAGAGATGTGGCTGACCAGTTTGTAGTCCCCCAGATCCTTCTTCTTGCCCTCTTGAACATAGGATGGGCTTTCTGCCCATCCTCAGGGACTTTCCCCAACTGTCATACCATTTTAAAGATAATCAAGAGTGCCCTCGCAGTGACATTCGCAAGCTCCTGCATTTCCTCTGGATGTATGCTATCAGAATTCATACATGTCTGGTCTGTTTGAATGTTCCTTAACGTGATCCTTCTCCACCCCGGGTGAACATTCTTTGCCCTGGACTTTCCCTGTAGTCATAGGAACCTGAGATTCCTGAAGGCTGGTTTTACCAGTAAAGAAAGTGACCATGGCACTGAGTACCTTGGCCTTTTTCATATTCTTTGTCATCAGGTTTCCTGCCCGCATCAGCACTAGTCTACATTTTACTACTGAGGTATCAGTAGAAGCATTCCTTGTTTCTCTTGATGTTTCTCAT